TTGTTTCCGTTGTGTTCATTTCTTTTGCCAAACAAAAGCTTTTTAGTTTGATTCAAGCCCAGTCATTTATTTTAGCTTTTATTTCCCTTGCTTTTGAGCTCAAATTCATAAAATCCTCTTTAAGTCCAAGATCCATGAGTTTTTTTCCTATGTTTTCTTCTATGCATTTTATTGTTTCAGGTCTTATATTCAGGTCCTTAATCAGTTTTGAGTTAATTTTGTGTGTGATGACAGACAACAGTCTAGTTTCATTCTTTTGCAGGTGGCCTTCCAATTTTCCCAGCACCATTTATTGAAGAGGCTTTCCTTTCTCCACTGTATGTTTTTGGCTTTTTTGTCAAAAATTATTTCCTCATATAAATATGAGTTTACTTCTGGACTCTCAATTTTGTCCCACTGGTCTGTGTGTCTGTTTTGCTGCCAGTACCATGCTGTTTTGATTACTGTCACTTTGTAGTATAATTTGAAGTCGGGCAGAGTGATGCCTCCAGCCTTGTTCTTTTTTCTCGGGATGGCTTTGGCAATTCGGGGTCTTTTGTGCTTCCATACAATCTGATGATTTTTTTGTTCTATTTCTTTAAAAAATGTCAATGGGATTTTGATGAGGATTGCATTAAATCTGTATAATGCTTTAGGTAATATGGTCATTTTAACTATGTTGATTCTTCCAATCCAAGAACACGGAATATCTTTCCATTTCTTTGTATCTTTTATTTCTTTTAATAAGGTCTTGTAGTTTTCATTATATAGGTCCTTCACATGTTTCATTAAACTTTTTCCTAGATATTTTATTCTTTTTGTTTTAATCCCTCCTTATTTTTAACCTCCAGATGTGGGTAAAGGGCAAGCCTGTTTGTGTCTCTGCCCCTCCTTCCAGTCTCCACCTGGTTTCTTCTGTAAATCTTTAGTTATAGGATTTCTATTCAGGTAGTCTTCAGGTGATTCTCAACATTCTTGATGTTGCTGAATTTTGATGTTCACAATATATGTGAACTCATATTTAACTCATATCAATGTGTGTTCCAATCTCAGGTCTGATCTTTTGTTTAAATTTTGGCCCAAGTCTTCATTCCAATGTTCATCTTGCCATCAGCCTTTGTAGATCCCAGTTGTTGTTTTTAAGTGTGTGTGTGCATGTGCGTGTAAATACTAGAAAATGAGGTATGTGCATGATGGGCAATAATATACATATGTTAAAATTCAGTGAATTTATAAGACTAAAAATTTCTCCATCATTTACAAAGCTGGTTCATTTCATTTTAATGAAGTAATTTTTTTTTTAATTGAAAAATAATTGCTGTCTTGGTAAAAAAAAAAAAAATTGGCATTTCCAAGGACATAATGTTATGAATGTAATCTAGATCTTTTTTTTTTTTTTAAATAAGAGCCTTATTGGGATATAATTCATATACCATAAAATTCCCCCATTTAAAGTGTATGTCAGTGGTGTTTAGTATATTCACAAAATACTGTTTTTAGCAACTATTACTACTTTCTAATTTTAGAACATTTTCATTACCCCAAAAAGAAACTCCGTACCCATTAGCAGTCACTCCCCAATCGCTTCTTGCCCCTGTCCCTGGCAGCTACTAATCTTTCTGTCTCTGGATTTGCTTATTATGGATATTTTATATACATGGAATCATACAATACGTGGCCTTTTTTGTCTTCTTTAACTTAGCATGGTGTTTTCAAAGTTCATCCATATTATAGCATGTATCAAATTTCGTTCCTTTTAATGGCTGAATAATACTGCATTGTATGGAAGTACCCAGATCTTTGCTTAATTAAAAGTTCAAGAGAAAAGAGTTTTGATCAGCAAGACCAAATGGTGATGAGATATTCTGAAAAACATATCTTTTTTTAAATTTACTTATTTTTTTTACCGATCTTTCCTCTCCCGGAAACCATCAGTTTGTTTTCTGTATCTGTGGGTTTGTTTTTTGTTTTGTTTGTTTATTTGTTTTTTTAGATTCCACATTTATGTAAGGACATAATGTTATGAATGTAATCTAGATCTTTTATTTCACTTAGCATAATACCCTCTAGGTCTATCTATGTTGTCACGAATGGCAAGATTTTATTCTTTTTTATGGTTAATATTCCATGATATATATATGTGATATATATATATGATATATATACGCGATATATATATATATTATATATATACATATATATATGTGATATATATTACATCTTTTTTTTTTACCCATTCATCTATCAGTGGACACCTAGGTTTCTTCCATATCTTGACTACTGCAAATAATGCTGCAGTGAACATAGGGGTACATATATGTTTTCAAAATACTGTTTTTGTTTTCTTTGGATAAATAACCAGAAGTGGAATTGCTGGGTATTATGGCAGCTCTGTTTTTGATTTTTTTAAGGAATCTCCTTCATACTGTTTTCCATAGTGGCTGCACCAATTCACAATCCTACAAACAGTACATGAGGAAAGTATAGTCTTAATTGAATATATTCTTTCTGAAAATGTTCCTTTGTATCTTTCTGCAGCTTTTTGATTATTGTTCACTAGAGTCTCACTGATAGATTTTAAAAGTAATTTGTTCTGTAGTATTGGTAAACGTATTCTGAATAATTTGTTTTCTAGCCGTGGTTAAAGACAGGCACATTCAAAAACAGTTTTTTCCCGACTTCAGTAACTGAATGTCTTCACCCTGCCTTGCAGGTATAATCTGTCTGTAAATGACATGTTTATTAGCTTACTTATTATTTGTATGAATTTCAAGTACGATAAAAATAGTTAAATTATTTCCTAGTAAAAAGGGATCAATTTTATTCAAGTTAAATAAACAAATAATTTTTATTGTATGAAGCAAAATAATCTAGTCTAGAATTTGAGATCATATATTACATTAAGTTATATATACACACACAGGAATTCTACTTTGTGATACAATTTTATAATCAAGAGTTTACTCACAGAGTTCTTCTCTGTCAAATGTTTGTCCACTTCCACCAAAGAGTCCCTTTAAAAAGCCTCTGTTTTGAGCTTCTGGAGTCTCTATGGGAGTAAACAAATCTCCCAGCATGTCCTGCATCAGATCCAAAAAAAAAAAAAAAGCATTAGAGTAAAAATAAATTGATAGATCAAAAGATAATACTGCAGTTGTTAGAACACATAATGAAAAAACAGTGTTTTCCAATTTTCTTGGTGAGTTTTGCTTTGCTCCCAGTTTTATCTCTGGTATTTCTTTCTCCTTTACCTTCCCTTCTGCAGTAGCTGATGTTCTAAAATTTTTATTTTTCTACCCTCTTCTCCCCTTTACAATTAGAAAGCTTGGGAAGATGATATATTCACCCTAGGATTAATTTTTACCTGATCAATGACTATCAAATTAGACTTCTGATCTTTTTTAATTACTGAAGCTTCTGCCTGTCCTAGTCTCTCTTCTGAACTAAGCATGGACTGCCTTATAAAATAGGAAGCCTTTGGTGGTATGTGGAGAAAGGTTGGATTTATTTTTATGTCAAGTACAAAATTATGCAATGGCTCAAGATAAACGATTCAAAATTGGCAACTATCGAATGGTGAGGTACAATTGTTCAGAATATTTGGTGTGCTTAGAATGACTGGAGAAAAATCTTGTTAGCAATACAGCTACTCAGGCTTTATTCCACACATAATAAGTTAGAATCTACAGAGATGTGCTCTGGATATCTATAATTTTAACTTGCTCTCTAGGTCTTTCTAAAGCAGATCAGAATTTTAGAACTATTGGTATAGAGGAAGGAACTTCAACCAGAAATCAGATCTGTGACCTAATAGTCATGTCTCAAGTTTGTCTATGAACTTGGGACATGACTTTATCTTCATCATCTCCCTTCACCTTTACTCACCAGACCTGTGATCTTCCTCCTAATTCCTTCTCTTTAGAAGTGACAGCACCATCTACTTAGTTCCCCAAGCTAGAAACCCAGGAATAGTTATTAATTCCCTCCTTTTCCTCCCTCCTACCTCTAATAACCCTGCAGTCTAACTGATTACACTTCATAGCTATTGAATCTGCTAACCTTTCTTCATTCTCACTGCTGGCTGCCTTATTTCAAGCCACTGTTATTTTTGGCCTTAATTATTTTTAAAAAGCCTCCTAATTGTTCTCCCTACCTTCAGTCCTAATTCCTCAAACCAGTCGTCATACTGCAACCAGAAAATTAGTTTTAATAAATAAATTTGCTAAATCTTTTTAATGACTTCTTATTGCCCTTGGGATAAACGCCAGATTCCTTAAGGAGCTTACTATGCGCTACAAGATCTATTCTCGACTAATTTTCCAGCACCATCCTTCCATTCTTTTCACTTCCCAACTCTGATCTTTGTTGGAAGTTTCCTGAACCCCTGGGCTTTCCCATGCCATTACTCTGTCAAGAATACCATTACCTTTCCATCCCCAGCCATCTATTCCTGTGGATAACTCCTACTCGCCCTTCACAATTCTTTTCTAACTACTCACTCTCTCTGTTCCGCCAACTCAAGTGTCCCTCTTGCATGTCTCCCCAGCACTGGCACAGTTATATATGAACAGCATTTCCACAGAGTATTGTGTTGTCTGTTTACTTATTTCTCCCTCCATACTAGTAGGTAGGGACTTGTATCTTATTGTACCCTAGAGCCTAGCAAAGTCCAGGCATATAGTAAAAACTCAATAAGTGTTTGTTGAATAACAATAATAATATGTATTATTTATTTTTAAATATTTATTTATTATTTATTTTTAAAACTTACTATATTCCAGGCACTGTGCTCAGTGCTATATATGAATTCTTAATTCTTACAACAGTGTTCCAAGATAGAGCATACCGGTAGATTAAGTAAAACGTCCAAAGTTACACAAGTGGGCAAAATACAACTTAAATAGTTTAGAGCTTATATTCAACCTCTATACTATAGTGAATGGATTTTAGTTTTCTTATTTGTAAAATGAAGGGGTTGAACCAATTAAATTTCTCAGATATTTTAAAAAATTATGTGACCAGTTTTACTTACTCAAAGATAGATAGGCTTTTATATTGTTTCTAGGCTCTGCTTACTGTTATGATCAAAGACAAATGCCCACTTCTAACACACAGAATAAATATGTATCATTTCGTATGTCTCTGAATCAAAATTAAGTTTTCTTAAAAAAAAAAAAGTCAACGAACTCCCTGAATTGTATGCAAATTGTTTGTATGTACATACATATTCCCCACCCTGGAGGGAGAGTTTATAATCTTTCAGAGGATTTTCCACAGGCAAAAAAATCCAAAACAAAATAAATTAACCATTACTATGTATAATCTTTACATTTCCCCTTCTTTCTTATTTTTTTCTGGGTATACCTACAACCACAGTAGAATTTGGTAGGGTCACAATGATGACTATGATATTCAAAACATATTCTAGGGAAGGCATATTTGTTGTCTGGCTTAATAGTATGTTAGCTTTTAGACATCTCTAATTCTCTCTCTTCATACAACATGTCTAATGTTTTTTCATAAATGTACTTGACCTACCTGTAGATTATCACACATCTCTTGGCTGTATGTTAACCGCTGAATTTCAGTAGGAGAGACGAGGTATAATGCCTGCCCTTCATTGGTAAAACAAAATGTCCGTGCTATCCTCATGTCTGTCAGTGGTAAATAATTAACATCCAACATTGGGCGAAGACTAGGTAGGCTGAATGGAAAAAAAGCAAATGCACATTTCATATTTGAATTGTTGGAAGCTTTTAATTTCTCTGTATAAAATTTGCAGGCCTTTATAGAAAAACAGTGATTTTTATACCACTTTTATATTTTATGATTGTTTCTTTTTATCTTTTTGAAATCTCAGTTGTAATAAACTAGACTTTGACATAAAATCATATACAGAAAAAAATCATGGAAAAAGTTCTTCTGTGTTAATTCATTAGCAAATTTTCTTGAAGGATGGATAAAATGCAGTGGCCAGCAATTTTAGGATGCTTTTTGTAGCATTTCACATGTTCCTACAATATTGTTATAGCCTTTGGTTATGTCAGAAACACTATATCTGAAAGTACCTGACTATATACTTGGTCCATTGTCTTTTTTTAAGCAAAACTCCTGAGTCTGTGGAGGTTATACACTGATGGAAATGTGGTTTGGGTCCAGTTCACGGTGCCTCCATTCCCAGGCACCGTGATCTGGACCCAAACCACATTTCCATCAGTGTATAACCTTTTATGAAATGGCTTTGGTCCCCATTCCTTTACTCCCACAATACAGAGGAAATGAAAATTATTTATGACTTAAGGCACCTTCACTGAAGGCATGATTAATAAATAAACATGGCTGGGGCTGTAAGAGAATGAGAAAAAGTTATAAATGATAGATGAGAATTTACAAATCCAAATGAATACCACTCATCTGAACTGTCTTACCAAATGGCTATATACTTATCCTAATGTTGTAGCCACTTATTTTGCTTAAAATCATCAGAATGTCCCTTTGGAACTGTCATTAGAGACAGTTTTACAAACTACTGAAGAAAACCAGTCTCATTGCTTTTAAATCATACCTCTAATGCCAAAAGGAGGAAAACAAACTTGTAATTAAATTCTAAACTTTGAAATCATCCTACTAATTCCAATATGCACAATGATTTTAAATTATCCCAGATCATAAAACTAGCACCTTAAAAAAAAAGTGCTAATTTCTCATGTCAAAGTAGTTCACAATTACAGTTTAAACCCTAGAACCTGACCATATAAAATGGGGCCTGATATCTGTGCTCCTGGAATAGACTTTTTATGATGTTCTAGCTCTGTGCTGTCCAGTATGGTAGCCACTAGCTACATATGCCTATTGAGCAGTTGATACATGGCTCATCTGAATTGAGATGTTCTGTAAGTGTAAGTTATATACTGGATTTCAAAGACTTAGTATGAAAAAATATTAAAATGTATATGTGCAGGCATTTCAAGTAACTAAGCTCCTCAAGATATGAGTCTAAAACAAACCCAGTTAAACATCCATGATAGAGTCAGTCAAATTAATGGGTGGTGATGGGGAAGAGGTTATTCATATATGTAAAATGGAGGATGCAAATAATACTTTATTTTCTGTGTCCTAGGGAAGCTGTAAGGATCAAATTAAATTCTGTATGTAAAATTCTTGTGTGTACTTTGAAACATAGTAAAAGTAATACTTCATTTCTTTTCCTTGTAGTTTATTCATCTTTAAACTTTTAGTGCCTAGAATAGCTTCTGGGAGATAACATTTGCTCAATAAATGTTTGCTGAATGAATGTGTGAATGACTGGAAAATCATTCTTTCCTTAGATTCTTTAGTGTCATTAAGGTAAATATATTTCATTCAAAATGCAAAGAATTTTTAGCAAAAAAAAAAAAACCTCAACAAAAACAAAACAAAACAAAAACCCAAATTGTTGAACAATAAAACATTCATAAACATAATGAAACAATGACCTCAGGTTTCTTCTTGATAACATCTTGCACTTTACACATATACTTTTCAGAACTGTACCTGGTTGGCACTGTTGTGATTACCAAATAATTTATAAAGAAGGCAAATACCTCATTATCATGATATGCCCATTGGCACAAAAGCACGCCAGACAGGCACTGTTACACATGACTACCACATTTGCTTGCAGTATGAAAGATGTCTCAGTGATGTTATGAACATAAAGGCAAGTCTGAGAAGGCAGTGAGAAGACTTTGGCTTGTTTTTCAGAGCAGATTATTGTATACTGATGATCTGTTTCTTGGGACGGAGAGGGGCAGTTCATGACCAGTTTTCTTCTCCAAGATTTTTCATTTTCATCTATGTTGTTTGGATCCCTCCAAACTTCATACGGCGGTTGCATTAATCCACCAGTTTGATCCATACAGGAGAATGTTAGTACAGCTCCTTTCAATGAGAGGAATGTACCTATAAAAACAATTTCATATCACTGGCACATAAAATTCTTTCTAAAACAGCTGTTATCATCATCTATGGGAAATAAGCGTTTTATATTATAATAATTTACATCTATAGAATCATAATATTGCAGTAATAGACATAAATCAGTAGATTTGTGAGTGCATCAGTTGCAATAACTTAGAATCATAAAATGTTCTAAAAGGAGCCTGAAACTTCAACTTGTCAAACCCTTTCATTATATTAATAAGAAAATGAAGACCCATGAATATGAGACTTGGGCCAGGTCACATAGCAAGTTTGCAGCTGAGCCTGGATTAGAACTTAGGTTTCCTGAATCATGATCCAGTGGTCTTTCTTTATACTATATAGTCCATCTTAAAATTCTTTTTTAAAAAATATATTTTAGAAAATATATAATTTTTATTTATTAAAATCGACTGAAAAAATAATCATGCTACCTGATTCCATTTCCTTCTTTCACAGGTTCATTTGCTAGCAAATACTTTTTTTCTTCTTCTGAAATTGAACACTCAGAATAAATTTCTTGAAATTTTAACATCTAGAGTTTATGCTAACAATTTGGATTATATGGGAAAAAAATCGAACTACCTTTGTCTCTTAGGCAGGCTAATGCATCTTTACACAGAAAAGAGGTTTACTTACCTGGATTCTCCAAGTTTGAATATCCATGCCAGATTAATACCTATGGGTGATTTTTACCAGTCCCAGAGGATAGGATACTATAAAGTTTAGGAGGATAACTTGGAATAGATTGACCTTTGGACATTTCCAGATTCTCTCTTAAGCAATGCCCTAGCAGTCTCTTTCCTTTGTCCTTTGACATGTAGAGAGAGTAAGAGGATTAATAGAACTGATACCCCTCAAGAGCATATGTGTGACAGAGACATGAAAAGGGAAAGGGTGAATTTAAAAATGCATTCCTCTTAGAAAGTAGTTTATCAATAACTTAAAATACTTAAAATTTATCAAGTTCAAAATAACACATTGAGATGATTTAACTTCTCAATTGTGTTTCTAAACTCACTTTAAAACCAGAATTAGTAGCCTATGGATGTCCTCCTAGGCTAACTGAAGAGGACAGGAGAATAGGGGTTTAGGTGCTTCATTCTGAGGATCAAGGTATAAAAGACCAGCAATCCCAATATCCCATGAAGAAAAAATAATGCCAAAAGCTATGGCAAATTACTTAATTAGAATTCATCTAGAATTGATCCTTCTGTAAGACCACATTTCTGTAACTACCTGCTGCCTCAATTTAGAAATAGCCTAAAGTAGGTTAAAAAGATAAGAAATCTACATTTTTGAAGCCATTCTACTTATACCTGATGTTTACAAGCTGTCAGCATCAAACTGACAATTTCTCAATAAGCTGCCCTTGCCAAAACAGCTGCTTTGTTTCCTAATTTGTAGTCAAAAAAAGGTTTTTATATTCTGTTTATAAGGTTTATATAAGGTTTTAAGTTTTCCCAACTATTATTAATCTTTATAACTGTCTTTAATCTTCTCTGACTTAACAAAAACTTAAGTTCAAATTACAAATAGGTACTAATTCAGAAATGGGCTTCATTACAAAGCAAGCTAAAATTTAAGGACTTCTACAATAAAATCTTAATTCATTCTACAGTAATTGACCGCACAATTAATTAGGACTTTCCTCTTTACCGGAGAGCTCACTGGTTAGAAGTGTACATTATTCCAGCTTTCCAAATAACCAGGCCGCCCCATCTTCATTCAATCAAAAAATATTTATTGAGGGCTTACTATATGTTCTAGTCTCTGTTTTAGGCACAGGGGATATAATAGTGAATAAAACAGACAAAAATCCCTACCTCATAGAACTTACTTTCTATAATAGAAACAGATAATATATGATAAATAAGTATATATAAGTATATAAGTATATATATACATATGTACATATATATATATGAGATATTAGGTAGTAATAAATACTAAGGAAAAAATAAAGCAGGAAAGGGATAAGAACTCTTGGGAAAAGGTGTGATTAAATTTTAAATAGAGTAGAAGATGTTATGGATTAAATGTTTGTGCCTCTTCCCTCCCCAATGTGGATGTATTTGGAAATGGGACCTCTAAGAAAATTAGGTTAAATGAGGTCATAAGAGTGGGACCCTAATCTCATAGAATTAGTGTCCTTATAAGAAGAGACGCCAGAGAGCTATCTCTCCCTCTCTGTGGGGAAACAGGAGAAAGGCCATATAAACACATGGTGAGAGGGCAACTGTCTGTAACTCAAGGAGAGAGCTCTCACCAGATATCAAAACTGCTGGAACATTGATTTAGGACTTCCAGTCTCCACAAGTGTGAGGAAATAAATTTCTGTTGTTTTATCCACCTACCATGTGGCATTTTGTTATGGCAGGCCGAGCAGACCAGTATAGAAGAGAAGGCATCATACTGTGAGAATTAGGGGTCAGGAAACCAGCACAAAGTACTGATATTTTGATTACTGTGATTATCCTTTATCTCTGATCCAAGAGTCCATGAAACTGGCTACTTTATTAGCTTGCAAATAAAGTAAAATCTCAAACTTACAAATCTTGACGTTTTAGAGCAGAGAAGGGCAAATTCATAAGAGATAAGATCAGAGGGATAATATAGAACCAGGTCATGTAGCTTCTTGCAGGACACAGAAAGACAGACTTTACTGACTTTAAGGTGGCAGGATTTTGAGAAGAGAATGATATAATCTAATTTTCATTTAATAGGATTAGTCTTCCTGCTGGGTATGTCCTATAGGGAGTGAAAGTGGGAAGAAAAGCGAGTTGTTAAAAGGTCAGTACAATAATCCAGGTGACAAATGGATACAGACTTGCTTGAACCAGGTGGTAACTGTAGGGGTGGTGAGAAATGATCAGAATCTGAGTACATTATAAAGGTCAAGCCAAAAGAATTTGCTAATAAATTGGATTTAGAGTGTGAAAGAAACATAGTGGTCAGGGATGATTCTGTTTTTGACTTGAGAAATTAGAAGGATGAAATTGCCATTAATCGGTGTGAGAAAGACTATGGAGAAAGGAAGGAACATCGGGAACTCAGTTTTGAACATAATAAGTTTGAGATGCTTATTAGATATCCAAGTGGATGCTAAATAACTGGATATCTATGTCAGGAATTTGGGGCTATGTCCAGACTATAAATAGAAATATATGAGCCATCAGATTATAAATGGCATTTAAAGTCATGAGACTGGCTGATTTAAACCAAGGCTTGACTATAAGTAGAAAACAAAAGGTTCAAAGAGTTAGTCTTTGGGCATTCTGATATTTTAAGTCCAGTGAAATGAGGAGGAACCAGCAAAGGGGACTGAGAAGGAATAGTTAGAAATGTAGGAAGAAAACTAGGTAAGTAAAGTGTTCTGGAATTTAAGTGAAGTGTTTTAAGGTAGAGACAATGGTAAACTGTGTATTATGTTGCTGATACATCAAGTAAGATGTGTTCTGAAAACTGACCAGTGGATTTCAATGAGGTCAGTGGTGACCTATGCAGAGGTTTTTGTTGATTGACGTGGGAGAAAACTTGATGAGAATGGACTTGAGAGAATGGGAGAATAAAATTAGAAATAGTGAATGTAACACAACTATTTCAAGGAATTTTGCATTAAAGAAGTGAAATGGGTCATTATAAAGGAAAGTTTTCTCTTTTTAATGAAATAAATAACAGCATGTTTATATGCTGGTTTAGTAGAGCTATTTATTAGAATTATATAATTGTATGTAACTATATGACAGTATAATTAGAATTATAAAAAGGAAGTAAGAACAATTGCTGGATTGACTTTCTTGAGTAAGTGAAAGGAGGCAGAATCTAGTTGGCCAAGTTAGGAGTTTACGCAGCTTAGTCATAATAATAGAGAATATAGAAACCATGAGGGTAAAGGCAGATAGGTTGGTAGATGTGGTGGTAGCAGCTGTTGAAGTTCTTATCTAATTGTTTCAATTTTCTCTGTAAAAGAGGACACATGGTTATTAGCTGAGATTGAGAACAGTTGAGAAGATATTAGAGCTTTGAGGAGAGTGGAGAAAATTGCAATTGTTCAAGAGGATGGGAGAGAGGATGAGATAAAAACAGTATGATAACCCAGCAACACAGGAGCCCACTTGAGGTTATTAATAATCTGTTTCAAAATGAGACTGTTATATATGTGGTTATATATTTTTTCCCAGCCATATTCAGTTATACAGATATAGAAATAAAGTACCTAGAATTAAATTTAACCAGGATTGTGATAATGCTGAATATGCATGTGTGATATTGTGATTTATAATAAATATATATTTTTTCTTTATCCCTGGTTCCAGCCACAGAGCTCCTAAAACTCTTGGAATGTCCAGTGATGAGAGCAACACAGGTGTCTTTTGTTATGTTAATGAGGTGGGGGGTTGGCATGGGGGTGGAGGCTGCAGATTGAGTTAGAGCAACACAGGTGTCTTTTGTTATGTTAATGAGGTGACTTTTTGACCTCGCCTAAGGTTGGGGGCTGGCATGGGGGTGGAGGCTGCAGATTGAGTTAGTCGCCAATGGTCAATGATTTAATCAATTATGCATATGTAATGTCTCCATAAAAACCCCAAAGGAGGGGGTTTGGAGAGCTTCCGGATTGGTGAACAGGTTAAGGTACTGGGAGAGTGACGTTTCTGGAGAAGGCATGGAAGCTCTGCGTCCCTTCTCACATTCTTTGCTCCCGAATCTTTTCCATCTGGATGTTCATCTGTGTTCTTTCATAACAGACTGGAAACAGTAAGTAAACAGTTTTTCTGAGTTCCGTGAGCCAAGGTAACAATCAAACCCAAGGTTAGGATCGTGGGAACCTCAGATTTATAACCGATGGTTCAAAAGCACAGGTTAACAACCTAGACTTGTGATTGATGTCTGAAAGGGATTGGGAGGACAGTCTTGTGGAACTGAGCCCTTAACCTGTGGGATATGGTGCTATCTCCAGGTAATAGTGTCAGAATTGAGTTAAATTATC